AGCCTACCTCCTCTCTCGGGGTGACCTAAACTGACTTCCGGCCCGACGGCATTCCTTGAATGTCGTTTTTTTAGTACCATAATATTCGTTCGTGTCTGTCACTCACTCTCGCTCTGACAATCGCTTGATCTCGTACTCATTCTCATTTACTCTCACACTTTTGCACTCACACATACATTCTCATTCTCGCAGTCACACACACACACACACTCTCTCTCTCTCTCTCTCTCTCTCTCTTTCTTGCACACACACACACACACACACACACACACACACGTCGAGGAGAAAAACTATTACAAAATTACACCTTGAGGCCATAAGAATATAATATCTACACCGTAACATCTCTCTTATATCGTACACCTACACCTGTTCTCGCCATCACTGGACGGAGGCGTAGTGATACAAACAGCAGTAGTCATTAAAGACTAGAGTATTACCCGACTAAAAAATGTGCTTATATATTACACCAATTTTATGAAGATGGCTGGTATTATGAACGATTTAATTATTAGAGTACAAATACCTTATCACCATCTAATTTATTAAATCCTATAAACTTGGATAAAATAAGTTTTCTAATTTGTCTCTCTATTTTTTGTACAAGGTGTTAAACTGTTGAAATAGTGGACAAAAATAGTTTGTGTAATGTGGATTATAGGTGAGTCTACCCCCCTACAAGCCGTTTAGTTTGCGTTTCTCCTGCTACGTCGAGGAGAGCGCTGGTAGCGGTCTATTTTTTCTAATGTAACCGATCCTGAGTATTTACGTTATGGGGAGTTGGTGAAGTTGGTGATATTCTATTATGAAAGTTTTTGTTCTTTATTATTATTACCTTTACTGAATAAGACAGTTCAGTATTGTTTTATAAACATACAGTAAGTCTCCCTTTACTGAGTCAATTGTCTTCTGCTGTATTGTATTTGTTCCCTGTGGTGTGGATACAACACTTACCTCCTGACTAAGGGACCATCAGGCCTACGGGATCTCACCTACATTTGCGCCCTGATCTCAGCGTGTAGTGTAGATTTTCCACCCCGCGCGTGAGACCTCCCAGGAAAGACCTCTCACTGCTTCACCTCAACATAAGCGGTCATCTGACCTCGTCCAGGTGACCTTTTGTAAACGAGTGACCCATCAGCCGTGTTTTACCATATGACAGACGGTACTGGCGCTCGCTGCCTTCAAGGTTCACTCCACCACCCACCTCAAGTGTCCCTCCGCCCGAGTCTACCGTATACTCATAATAACGTGTGTGTACCTGTCTGTTTCTCTGTATGTATTTACGTGTCAATCCATGTATGTATTTTACAGGGACATATGTTTCTTTATATATGTATATAAGTATACACAAAAATACAAATATAAACATAAGATAAAGACAATTGAATCGTGAACACACACACACACACACACACACTCCCCTCGCAAACAAGTTCTGTACTGTACAGTGTACAATGTACATACTTTCCTACTTAAGAACATGAGAGGTCGAATATATGCTTACTTTGGCTTAGTATCTCGTGTCGTGTCATGCTGATGTGTCCCTCTGACCAGGTTAGGTTGTACGATCTTAAGAATAAATAAGCAGGTATGGCTAATCTTCGTTCAGGTAATCCCAAGAAACATAATTATTTATTCCACCGATTTAATGGTTTTACACACTACCCATCCAACAAGGCCTGACAAGTGTAGAAGCAAACAACAGTACCATTACCTCACGACCCTCGGCATTCTAGTCCTATGTATCATCAACACAGGGATGTAATATTTCCCCAGCGTTCCTCCATCTGCCGCTCAGGACAAATGGTAGTCTTTTTCTCGGTTTATGTGTCACGAGCGAAGAACCGAGGTTGTGGGACCTGATGTAGGAGGTTTGGGCCAGGGTAGTTAGAACTTAACCTAACCAAGAACCTGCCTCCCACATTTGTGGATTGGATTGGATTCGAGTTGAGTTAGGTTAAGTTAAATTAGGGTAGGGTAGGTAAAACTTTCACCTTTGTTGTGTTACCTTAATTATGACGATATGGGAATCCCTTCATATTTGCTACGACTCTTTCCCACGAACCGGGTTTTTCCTCAGGTGAGCGTTATTCCAGGCAGGTATGGCGCCTTTCTCAGGTGGGGCGGCTGAAACTTGCCTTTAAGCTATGTAATAATGTTTTAAATACTTGAAGTAATAACTGGATCACCTGAAGGTTAGCCACCCCCTAGCTTATTTCACCTGTTAATTATATACCTTAACGTTACCTGAGGGGATCTGGGTTGGGTTAGGTTAGTGTTAATATGATTTATCTTCAGGTAAAGCAAGCTGGGGGTGTTAATCTTCATGTGATTCTTATTCCTATACCATATACCAATCTGTAATCACCACCAGTAACCTTTACTTACCAACCATCACAACTAGGAAGCAACCATACTACCATCATCACCGCCACCACCACTACTACCACCATAACCCCTACCATCACCTCCACCATCACCACTACTACCACCATAACCCCTACCATCACCTCCACCATCACCACTACTACCACCATAACCCCTACCATCACCTCCACCATCACCACTACTACCACCACCACTACTACTATCACCATCACCTACACCACCACTATCATCACCGCCACCACCACTACTACCACCATAACCCCTACCATCACCTCCACTATCACCACCACTACCACCACCACTACTACTATCACCATCACCTACACCACCACTATCATCACCGCCACCACCACTACTACCACCATAACCCCTACCATCACCTCCACTATCACCACCACTACCACCACCACTACTACTATCACCATCACCTACACCACCATTATCATCACCTCCAACACCTCTACCATCACCACTACCACCATCACCACCACTACCACCGCCGCCCCCACCTCTTCCAAGTTTTCTGTCAGTTAAGCAATATTTATGGTTTCAATTTCCAGTAAATACCTTGTGTGAGTTGTCTATATCCATTTCTAGTCGTTGTCCTTGGTACCGTCCACTCCCAGGCCCCTGTTAAGTTGAGGCTCACGAGGTAGAATCAATTTGGTCACAGGTTAGGTTAGGATAGGTTAATTTAGGTTAGGATAGGTTAGGTTAGGTTAAGTTAGGTTAGGATAGGTTTGGTTAGGTTAAGTTAGGTTAGATTGGACGGTCATGGTTTTATCCTGTCCTTCTATCCAAGCTTCGGGCCGGACAGACAGACAGACAGGTTAAGGCATCGTACTCAAAGGGTTAAAGAAGGTTTAGTTGCCACGCTCACGTTCTCAAGAAAGTTGTTTAGTAAAGCTTGGGATGTAAGTAGATTAACCCCACCCCAGCTTATTTTACCTGGTTATTAAACACCCTAATGCTACCTGGGGGTTAGGTTTGGTAAGTTAATATTTAGGTGAAATAAGCTGGGGTGGAGATTCTTCAGGTGATCCGATATCAGTAAATATAAGTAAGAAGGGAAGATAAAAGTAATTAAGTCAAAAGTGGATTGTAAACACCTAAGGAAATTCCATAAGTTCAAGTGCTTAGGAATAAAAACTTAAGAGTGAAGATAAAATGATGAGATAAATGAAAAACGGTGATAACATAATACTCATAGATCATAGATGTAAGTTATTTTTAGGGGTGGGGGGGGTGGAGGGCGGTGTGTGTGTGTGTGTGTGTGTGTGTGGTGGGGCAGGGTGTGTGTGTGTGTGTGTGTGTGTGGTGGGGCAGGGTGACAGGTGTGTGTTTGGAGGGGCGGCCGGAGTATGAAATCCGTGGGTGGGGGGACAGGGTGAAGAGTGCGCGGAAGGGGGGTCAGAGTGCGTCGGGGGTGTTGGCGGGGTGAGGGGTGCGCGGGTGGAGTGCGCGGGGAGGTGCGCCGCCGCAGAGTGGCATCTCAGCTGAGCGGGCAGTGTGTGTGGTGCTCGTGTAGTGTGCGGGTGTGTGTGTCTCGCGCTAGGCAGAGTGATCCAGTGATGCAGAGCCAGCAGTGAGTTGAGTGCCAGAGCGACATGCTGGCCGCGTTGCAGGGGGGGCTGTATACCTCCCCCTCGCGCCCCCTGCCCCCCACGCCCCCGATGGTGACTCCCGCTAATGGGGCAGCTCCAGCTGGTCCCTCTCCTAAATCTCGTCATCAGTTGCAGTATTGCGATGCCTGCAACACCGCCTGCGTGTTCATGAACAGTCGGCGGCGTAAGTTTCAGGCTCGATATGAAGGCTACGTGCTGCTCAAGAGAGTGGCGGCCCTCAACATGCGGCTACACCTGCCCTACGTCATGGCCGAGGGCGAGAGTCCGCCCTACCACCGACGTCACTCCTGCGGCGACGTTCTCGACGAGAATGGTGACCCACCTTCTGACAACCAAAACCTGCAACCTCAGCCGCCCCTGGAGACCTCGCCGCCGACCTCTTACATGCGGTCACAGTCACACAGTGAGTGGCTCCGCCCCGAGGACGACGCTCCTCCCCCCTGGGAGAAGGTGGTCAACATGGATGAACCGTGTCAACTAGACCTACGTCCCACCACTCCCACCCCCACTTCCACCGCCGCCCTCTCCCCCCAACCCTCTACAGTAGGAGTTGTGGACCCTGCAGGCCGTAAACCCCGGCGGCACTCGGCCATGATGGAGCGCCTGGCCTGTGGTCACCAGCGTCTGTGTAGGAAGAAGTCTCGCTCACAAGACAACTTGGTGGGTCGCAGGGGCAGTGGGGGCGGTGGGCCTCTGCGACTCAATAACAGCGTCATCCCGGCCCCCGCGGCCCTCACCACTTCCCTCTCCCGTTCCGAGGGCAGCATCCACAATGTTCACGCCGTCTTGAGCACGGTGCCCATCACCGTCGATGACGTCGACGTGGGCGTGGGCGGCCTGAGGGCGGAGGTGGGTGAACTTGCTCGCTTGCCCAAGCGGCTGCTGCACCGCGTGACAGGCGAGGTGGGGCAGCTTGTGTTCGACCTTGAGGGCTGGAGGGAGGAATACCTCGTCCTTACCCACACCGCTATCGCCGCCAGGACGGTAAGTGTCTCAGGTCAAGCACCTAGTTGTTACCTGGCTGTCTGCCACACACACACACATTAAGTGCATCAGTATCTTACATGACTCGTCTAAGAGAGTGTCAGCACCCCAAGGGGACGTACTGTACTGTACATGAAGCATTTGGCGGATTTAGTACTCTTACAGTACAGCTGCCTATGTGGTGGTCCTGCTGTAACACTCACGCTTCACGGAGATCAAACACTACAAAGGTTACGTCACCACGACGAACTTTAACAGGATACCGTCTTAACCTCTGACAGGAATGAACTTTAATATGATATAAGAAAGACGGGAGATAGATATTAACCTAACCTAATTTAACTTCACCTCACTTAATCAAACGATCTTAGACTATTTTGTAGTTTAATCAGGTAAAGTTAAAGTTGTGGTTTAGCTTCTTCACGTTACCTGCATTTAAAAAAGTTTACTATAAAGGCAAACCTAAATATTTGCGGTTTTCGTTTAATTTTTGTTTTATTTACGTTAATATTTTTCTTTATTTCAGTGTAATTATGTTTTTCTACGATTATTGTCTTGGAAAAAAATGCACAAAAATCATCGAGTTCAAATTGAATTTTCTACATTTATTGTGAAGTTATTGAAGGTCTTGTGATACGGCCAAAAGTAGCGAGGATTTATTAAGACTATGGTATACATTGGCTGGTACAGTAGTCTTATAAACGGCGTACATGTTAACACCAGTAGCAGCTTGTCCGTATCGTGGTACAGACAAGCGGTTCCTGGCATTAACATTGTACTGTATACCGTTTTTAAGACTACTGTATTTTAAACTGTTCCTAAAAATGCTGTAGTCAGTCTATGTATTAAACTCCATCAACAAAGTATACATGGATGAATATTTTACTGTGAAAGTTTAAAGAAAATAATAATCGGTAGGCGAGAACGTTGTAGAGGAGAATAGATAAAGTCTTTGTTGGTTTATAAGAACATCCGTCAGAGCTTTCCTCTGTCTCTCTTTCCAGTTGCGACACGAGTCATGTTCTATTTTATCTGCCGTTACTGTCTCTTTATATCGTTACTGTCGTTTTATATCGTTACTGCATCATCATCTATCGTTATTGTATCTCCACCTATCGTTACTGTCTCTATATCGTTACTCTAGTTTTATATCGTTACTGCATCACCATCTATCGTTACTGTATCACCAGCTATCGTTACTGTATCACCAGCTATCGTTACTGTATCTTCACCCATCGTTACTGTCTATATCGTTACTGTAGCTTTATATCGTTACTGCATCACCACCTATCGTTACTGTATCGCCATCTATCATTACTGTATCACCATCTATCGTTACTGTCTCACCATCTATCGTTACTGTCTCACCATCTATCGTTACTGTCTCATGTCGTTTACACACTACTTGTCGTTTGGTTCACTGTCTAACTTGTTGACAGGAGAGGACAGGGGCACCTCAACCCCGTCAACTGTATTACCCGTCAACTGTATTACCCTTTATCTGTCACTCTTTGTATCTACAGTTAAACCTCTATTTAGCGGACTATATGGAGAGGAAAATCCGTTATGTCGAAGGCCTTTAGATGTGTGATACCTCCATCTCACGAACTATAGAGGTGAAAGTTCGTTATATGGAGTGTCCGTTACGTGTGAAACCGTTCCCCCTCATCTAGCGGATTATTGGAGAGAGAATCCGTTATTCGGAGGTTTTATTTATTTCTGTGTTTCACTATGTCTAATTTATCTTAATCTAATATTTTATTGATATGTAAATTTATTATTCTCGTCACAAACTTATCAAGCTTTTATTCTTTTGATTCATCGGTCTGTCTGTAAAGTTATCAAGCTCTTTATCAGTTAGGTTATCATTTTTATCAATATATCATTCGATCTATCTTTCACTCTCATTAGGGTTTTTATCGTTCGTTAGGCGTTTATAATACACCTATCGTTCTGTATTGTCCTATCGTTTTGACCGTGTGTGTGTATCTCTTGACGCACAAACACGTATATACAGTACAGTATGGTATCTATCTGTGTGTACTCGCATGTCTTGTCTGTTCATGTTTTAAGCCATATCCAATGACCAGCTAAATGGGATGGCGCAGGTACATACATTAATATATATATATTTTCCTAAACATTATATTGATGTTATTTTACAATCAGGATACCAGATATTCGGCGGAGGTGCAGGAAGGAGGGAGAGATGGAGGGAGGGAGAGGTGGAAGGAGGGAGGGAGGGAGAGGTGGAAGGCTGAAGGGAGGGAACGACAGAGGGAGAGAAGAACGGAGGGAGGGAGATAGAGAGAGAGAGGGGAGGCCATGGATATAAATCTCTTTATTCTGTTTCTGTAATGTAAAGTTTAGCTGAAATGGTCACATACCACAGGGAAATAAATATATTCATTCGTCTGGCAGTGATAAAAGATAACGAAGGTAGAGGAATACAGACACGAGGAAGATGTTATTTTGTTTTTTATTTAATGACTGTTGATTGATTGTGTGGATAAGTTGACGGGAGAGACGAAGGAAGGAGGCGAGTGTTCTTGCACGATACACTAGCAGCGTAACATCCTCCTGCCTCCTGCACTACATTTTATACACCTCCTTCCTTCCTTCCTTCCTTCCTTCCTTCCTTCCTTCCTTCCTTCCTTCCTTCTTTCTTCCTCTCCCCATTTCGTCTCCAAGTTGTTAGACGAATCATATGTGAAAAAAATATAGATTGATTACGCCTTTTTGTTTACTTGCTTATTTGATTTCTTGATTGGTTATCTTGGCTATGGCGCTGAAACAATAATGGGTGTTTTTTATTAGTGTTATTGTTGAGGGCATGGTGGGAGGGGGGGTACATTGTTATTATCACTACTTGTGTTACCTGTTGGTGATGGGTGATAACAGTATTAAAAGTTTTTGTTGTCGGTGTGTGTGTGTGTGTGTGTACTGGCATCTCTACACGTATGAAATGAAAGTATCAAGCACGGGGGAGGGGGGGTAGGTAATATGCATGCGTGCTTGTAAGCTATTAAATTATATTCATAATATTAATGTAAGATAGAGTATTCCATTCTGTTGTCTAAATATAGGAGGTTCATTTACCGTTCCTGTTGTCTCCAAACACGGCTCTAGGAACGCCTCAGCGATCACTAAACCCATTGGTAGTTTTCTTATTTCCACACCGCTTGTTTATCCTGCCACCTGCTGTACTAGCTTACTATAGGTACCATCTGCTGTCACCTTGATGGGGGACGGGGGGGGGGGGAACTGGGGCAAGGGAAGTCCTGCTGTCAGATGGTTATTTAAGAAGCTCGACAGCTGGTGGCAGACGGACTCCAGTAAGAACAAGTGGAGCGTGGAGGTGAAGGGGAGGTGGTGGTGGCCTGCAGGGTCATGGAGGTTGAGGTGATGACGACTCTCTCTCTCTCTCTCTCTCTCTCTCTCTCTCTCTCTCTCTCTCTCAGTGTTGTAATTCCTAAGACCCAAACGTCACAATGCCTTACACAAATTGTTGGTGAATGCTCGCCGGATTCCTCCTTACTTGGATAAGTTTATCATCAACCCAAAATAAACCCCAGAAATGTTGGTGTCATACTCCCTCTCCCTCTTCCCTCAATGGTGGTGTTGGAGAATTGTCACGCTCTCTCTCTCAGTGTTGGAGGAGAGTTACGCCCCCAACCTCAGTGTTGGAGGATTGTCACGCCCCCTCCCTCAGTGTTGGAGGATTGTCACGCCCCCTCTCTCAGTGTTGGAGTGTCCACAACCCCTCCTCAGTGTTGGAGGAGTGTCCCCCCCTCCTCAGTGTTGGAGCCCTCAGTGTCACAACCCCTCCCTCCACCCCTCTCTCAGTGTTGGAAGTGTCACCCTCCTCAGTGTTGGAGTGTCACGCCTCCCTCAGGGTTGGAGGATTGTCACGCCCCTCCCTCAATGTTGGAGGATTGTCCCCCCCTCTCTCTCAGTGTTGGAGTGTCTGCCCCTCCCTCAGTGTTGGAAGAGTGTCACGCCCTCCCCTCAGTGTTGGAAGAGTGTCACGCCCTCCTCAGTGTTGGAAGGTGTCCCTCCCTCAGTGTTGGAAGAGTGTCACGCCCCTCCTCAGTGTTGGAAGAGTGTCACGCCCCCTCCTCAGTGTTGGAGTGTCCCCTCCTCAGTGTTTGGAAAGAGTGTTGGAAGAGTGTCACGCCCCTCCCTCAGTGTTGGAAGAGTGTCACGCCCCCTCCCTCAGTGTTGGAAGAGTGTCACGCCCCCTCCCTCAGTGTTGGAAGAGTGTCACGCCCCCTCCCTCAGTGTTGGAGGAGTGTCACGCCCCCTCACCGACCTTGAGTTTCACCACAACTATGTGAGTGTTTGGCCAGAAAAGTAAACATGGCTCCGTCAGACAGTCTTCATCAGAGCACCAGGCCGCCGCTGCTGCTGCTGTAGTTGTGGTTGTGATACTCGTTCACGGTGGTCTTGTGTCTTGACTGGGTTTATGTTTTATCTCACCTAACCTCACTTAACTAGCCTAATCTAATCTTGCTTAACCTAACCTAACCAACCTGACCTACTGTATGTGTGAGAGGAGATTGTCATAGGGGAGGGGAGGGGTTCTAATATATACAGTATACGGCTCATTAAGGTTAATGAATGACCCTCAACATGTGGTGTGGCCTCCTGTAGAAGAGCTCTTACCCTAGACCACACTGTTGTGTTCCCTCATGTGTTTATCTAATGCTGCCTCCTCGCACCTCTTACCCCGCCTAACCTAACCTAACCTAATATTAACTATTACACAGATAAAAATAAAACCCAGTAGGACTTAATATCTTCCTGGAGATTAAGGACGGACATACACACCTGTCACTACACCTGTTACTACACCTGTCACTACACCTGTTACTACACCTGTCATTACACCTGTCACTACACTTGTTACTACACCTTTCACTATACGTGTTACTACACCTGTCACTATACCTGTCATTACACCTGTCACTATACCTGTCACTGCACCTGTCAGTATACCT